ACATAAAAACACAATTGTGAATGGGTTGAGGACATTTTATTAGAGTCATAACTTCAAAACTTTTGAAGAAATTTTAAAAATAAATTCTTATGACTTCAGGGTAAAGGAAGTGCTTCTTAAATAAGACTGTTTAATTTGGATTTATTCAGAAGCAAATTATGAAGTAAAGATTCAAATGGAAGTAGTTCATTTAGGAGGGGGTCCTAGGAAACACATGTAAGGGAGAGGCAAAGTGAGACAGAAAAGGAAAAGAAGCCAATACATGATGTGTTATTAAGAAAAGTACCATGTGAATAACTGGGTTTTGGAACAGTGACATTCTAAGTGTGGTCCAGGGAATAGCACTGACTCATTAACTTTAGCTGGTCCATGACAAGATAAGTATGAGAGGGTTACAAAAAATTCATGGAAAGATTTGTAAGATCTTTTAATTCCATTTTTCCATGAGCTTTTTGGAGTGCCCTTGTAAAACATAATACCAAGAGTTTGCAAGGAAGTAGGAAAGTGGGAAGTTTCAGAACATTTCCTTGGGGAGTATAAGCTGCTACCACCACTTTGGAAAACAATTTGTCATTACTCTAAAGCTGAAGACAGATGTACCCTTCAGTCTACCTATCCTATTCCTAATTATAGTATATGTTCAACCAATGTGCAAAAATATTCATATGAGTCATGTTCTAAGATAACCTTCTCTGGAAACAATCCTCATGTTCATCTTCAGTAGAATGGTGAAATAAATAAGACTGTATTCACAGAATGGAGATGAATGAAATGCAGCTATATGTATCAACACAGCTGAATCTCAAAACAATGTACAGGGACAAGTGCAAATTATATAATAAAAAACATTCAATCCATGTTTATATATAAAGGAAACCAAGAAAAACTAAATGATATAATGTCTTGGGATAGATGTGTATATTTATAGCTCCAAATAAAAATAAGAAGGATGATTACTGTAAAATTCAGGATAGCACCTATTTTTGGGGGGGGGAGGGAGGTGGAGAACGAGGACCTTTCTCAACCTTCATCAGCTAGACCCTCGGATGAGTAAGTAGAATCTGCATCTCTCTTTTTAGCTCATTTTGCACTTCCCAATGGCTTCTCCCTAAAGCTTTAAGCTTTCTCCTAAAGCTTCTCCACTCATCCCAAATTCTCGATGCAGCTCATCCCCCACTACACTTTTGAACATGGAGACATTAGGAAACCTCAACTCCTTTCTCAAAAGCATCTGCACATTTCCTCCTCTCCTCTTCTCTCACAGAGAGAAAGGTACCTTATTTCCACCTACACCTGCTCTTGCCTTTTCAGGACCCTACCTATGTCAGTTGTCCTCTTTCTCACCCTTCTACGTCTTCCCTCTATTTAATCACACCATAATCTCTCTCATCTTTGAGAGGGGTCACTATTTCGGCTCCATATCTCATCCTTGCTATTTTTTGCATTACCATCCCCATTCACAGGCAAAATTAGGACACCAACGTTCTCCCTAAGTTACCTTTGCTCATGTCACAAGTAACCTGGAGGATACTCAATTCAGTGGGCAGGTCTGAGGCCACACCTTACTTTGCTGCTTAGCCATAGCCATCACTGTTAACCAGAAACTTCTTGAGCGTCTTTCCTCCCTTGGATGCGAAACATCAGCTCACCTTTCTGGTTTTCTAGTTGCCTCTCTGAACACGGCCTCCCAGTTTCTCTGTTTTCCTCCCTATTGTTAAGACTGGAGTTCCTCCCGGCTTAGTCATAGACCTGCTTTTTTAAAATTTCTTTTCTCTGCTTTATACTCTTGCTACAAGATCAGGGTTTCAATTTCCTAACATTGTCCCCAGTCTTCCTATATCACCCCTTGGATGTCCTACATACACTTAAAATAAGGTATGACAAAAACTGAGCTCACCATCTTTCTTTCCAAAATTGGTCATCCTTTCAGGCTCACTGTCTATGAAGAACACTCTGATCCCCAGTTGTATAAAACAAAAGGGCTGGGATTCTCTGTGACACATCCCTTCCCTCCTTTACCCTTATCCATCAAGACCATGTTAGTTACCATCCCTAAATCTCCTAAACAGTCCATTTCTCTTATACACGGCCATCGCCCTGGTTCAAGCTACCACCCTTTCTCCCAGGATGATGACAGCAGTGTCCTGAATTTTCTCCCTTCACCCTTGACCTCACAAAGCTGCCTACCACATTCCAACATCCCTTCCCCCTTTCGCCCTAGTAACTTCTACCCATCCATCAACTCTAACTTATTTGTCACTCAATATTCTAACTTGCTGAACAAGATTTCCTCTGCTTGTTATAATTCTCCTAGTACCATATCCTTTTACCTCAGATCCTGATAACAAATTTAATGAATTAATTGTCGGTGTAATTATTTAATGTCTGTCTCCCTTTCCAGGAGACAAGCTTTATCAAGGATTTAACTACATCTGTCTTTGTTACCGGTGCATCCCTAGTGTCCATCACAGTCCCTTGATCATATTCAATATTCAATAAATATCTGTAGGAAGGAAGAGTGTGTAAGGGAAAATGACAAGAGATATGACTAATTAAAAGCTTTTACATACCTAAAATATTTAAAAAGAAAATGAAAAACTGGCAAAAATATTTGCAACATATGCAAGAAAGCTTTATGTCCTCAAAAAGAGATTATAATTACAAGCCCATAAGACAAAGATGAGCAAAAAGAAAGAGCCATTGAGGAAAATGAGCACAGGAGATAGAGAGCTTGTTCATAAAAGAATCAATGCAAATGGCTAATTAAACTGAAAAAAAATCTGCACTCTCCAGCATTCTAAGAAGGATACACACACACACACGCACATGCGTACACACACACACACACACGTTTATTTTTTTAAATACAGATGTTCCCTGACTTACAATGATTTGACAATGATTTTTCAACTTTACAATGGTGTGAAAGCAGAATGTATTCATTAGAAACCATACTTTGAATACCCATACAACTATTCTGTTTTTCACTTTCAGTACAGAATTCAATAAATTACACGAGCTATTTAACAATTTATTATAAAGTAGGCTTTGTGTTAGATGATTTTGCTCAACTGTAGGCTAATGTAAGTGTGCTGAGCACATTTAAGGTAGGCCAGGCTAAGCTATGATGTTTGGTAGGTGAGGTATATTAAATGCATTTCAGGATGTAACCCGATTGTAAGTCAAGGAGCATTTGTAGTCAATGCTGGCAAAAATGAAGACTAGACATATTCTGTTGGGGAGCCCAGAATGATACAGACGTTATGGAAAGCAATCTGGTAGTATGTGTCAAAAGTCTTAAAAATAAAGATTTCATCTACTTTGGCCCAGTAAATTAATTTCCAAGAACTTATCTTAGGGACATCAGCAGAGTTGCATGCAAATACTTATTTATAAGAATGCTCATTCCAGTGTTACTCATAGTCATGAAGAATTCAAACCAACTTTAATGCCCAATAATAAAGGATTGGTGACTATAATGGGACACATCCCCCTCCAAGTAGCCATTAAAATACATGGCCCCAAATTACACTTAAGGATATGTTTTTAAACTCTGTGATTTGTTTCATGATAAAAGAAGATCACAGCACAATATGCACAGTAGAGGTTACACTTTTTAAAAATAAAATAAAGTATGTTTCATGATAAAAGAAGATCACAGCACAATATGCACAATAGAGGTTACACTTTTTAAAAATAAAGTATGTATACGTATTTAAATGCATATAATACTGGAAAAATATCTTTGAATAGGGGGATTATGAGTGATTTTTTTTCTTTTCTTTTTTTAACCTTTTTGTATATTCTTAATATTTAACAAATTCTGTGTATCATGCATCATAATGAGAAAAACTAAATATATTTTAATTTAACAATGGGGAACTGATTGCAACATATGGCTGAGGCTATATCTAAAGAGGTATAGCATGATGATTAAGAGTACATGCTTTGAAGTTCATAAACAGGTGTTCAGTTCCATCTTTACAACTTAAGAGCCATATGACCTTGAGCAAGTTATTTAATTCTCTCAGCCCCAGTTCCTTTATCAGCACAAAGAAGATAATACATACTGTGCAGAGCTGTTTTGTGGCTTAAATGAAATAATGTATGTAAAATTCTTACCAAAGAGTAACCGCTTAGTAAAAGTACCTGCTTCTATAGTGCCAAAGTATAAATAGATCCAGTAATAATTTACATGAATTCATGATACCCTAGGGCGTTATAACTGAAACTTTGGGGAATCATTTATTTTCTGGCTCAGTATCTTCCAGACTATTGTGGAGTCCAGCAGGAGGATGCTGGCAGAAGGACTGACCTGCTTACAGAAGCAGCCCCAGGAAGGGTCGTGCTTATTGGTGCAAAATGCTGGCATAGGCCATTCATTTACTTATTCGTCCAACCAGCAAATAGTTATTAAGCATCTACCCCATGCCAGGCATTGGAGACTCAGCAGTAAGGCAAACTAGCTGCCTTCTTCTAATTGGATCGAGGTTTCAAGACACATGGTTCCTATTGGAAACTGGGGAAGCACTTCCTAAAGTCGGAGAGAACTTGGTAGGATTAGGAAAATGGTAATTGGTAAAATAATGATGAAGGTCATTTTGCATTCTTCAAATACCAAGACCTCCTGGCAGAGCTGGGGCTTGCTGATGTCCTCCTGCCCTGATCAGGTGTAATTCTGTTTGCAGATGAAAAGCCATCAGCCTTCTGAAAAGTGGTCAGCAAACAATGGCCCATTGGTCAAATCCAGCCCATTGACTATTTTGGGAAGTAAAGTTTTATTGGGATGCAGGCACACCCATTAGTTTATGGATTGTCTGTGGCCATTTGTGCTACAATGGCAGAGTTGAGTATTTGCAACAGAGACAGTATGGTCCTTCAAACCTAAAATATGTATTATCTGGTCTTTTGTAGAAGCTTTGCCAACCACTTTCTAGGTCAATGGGACTGGAGGAATGACATGGAAGATACATCAAGTTCATGACTTTTCCCTTCTATAGTTCCAGGAGCTGTTCCTCTGGAATCCATCCAAGGAGGGCCCTTTGAGGAGAAGATCTACATCCAGTGGAAACCTCCAAATGAGACCAATGGGGTCATCACACTCTATGAGGTAAGGACATTCCTCATACTGCATCCGTGGGCTTAGCTTTATCAATTTACTTTTGCCAAAAGTTGGTGAATTCAGTTGATTCTACTGAGCATGTAAAGGTGAGTGGGACACAATGTACCCAAAGGTTTCTGGAAATACAGTGGGAAGAAAACACAAAGGAACACATTTGCACTGTCTTGATAGCTCTAAAGACAAATAAATGTGTGCATGGAAGAGATTATGGTGACAATTAATCTCTTCCCCATTGGGGTCAGGAGTCAGGGAGTCAGATTGTCCTAATACAGAAGAGAAGACACAGGCCTGGCAACCAGAAGTTAAAGTTCATCAGGGAAACTAGGATACTCATGTGATGCTCACCCCACCCACATTAACCCCTGGGCTTTGAAAAGAATCCTAATGTTATTCTCTGCTCCAGGGGTACAGAATTCTTGAGCTTTAAATTTCTCTATTCCCAAGGCATATTTTACTGTCACAGGTGGTAGTATCCAAAGACCCTGTCCAAGCATTAGCACAGAGCATTATATGAGAGATGGAACAGAACCTACTCAGGCAGGAATGTGCCCATCAGTCCAACACAATATGGCTTCCTGAAAACTTGTAAAACTAAAACTGTATAGAAATCCATTGCAAAATAATAACAAAACAAAAAATCTCCAAAAAAAAGCTGTTATAGCCAAGATTCAAGTATCAGGATGTGAATAAGATTGACCCTCATCCCACTTCTTGTGTTCTGAGACACCATGTGATTGCAGTACTTCATAAAATAGAAAAACACAGCAATGCAGAAGGAAGAGCGCGGATGCGAGATGTAGCCTAGTTTCCTAGTAGTTTTACCATAGTCTCAAGTTACCTTTGGCCAGTTCCTCTTCTTGCCAAGTTCAGTTTCCTCATCTATAAAATGAGGGTAATCGCTACTTTGGGGTTGCTCTAGAGTGTCTGAGGATGAAAAAGACATGAGCATGAAACATATATTAAAACATGTACTTCAGGCTCATGGAGGGGCTTAAGCCACCAAGTGCTCATGCAGAAACATGCACCAATAGACAGTGGACTTAGGGAAGAATATCCCTCTGTTAAGCAATGGTGAGCTCTGGGGAGAAAAATCAAGGTAGTTGATGAGGGAGAAATATTCAGGATTAATCTGATGGGTCCAGAAGCTGTCTAAAGAGACATAGATGGTCCTCAGAGCTCACTGAAGGAGAAGATTATCCAACATGTACAAGGTGCTTGAGAAATCCAGCATTGCTTACAAGAGGTGCTATCTAATATCTCCATTGCAGAATTTTCATGGAGCTTTGTGCAGCTCTCAGGATTAGCACAGGGAAGGAGGGCACAGATATCCATACCCACCGTATATGAGCAGCGTTGGGCCACACACTTGGAAGAAGCTCCCTTTCTGGGGATGCTGCAAGAGGAGGGGAGGTACTCAACTCAAACAGATACATCTTGCCTAGAATGTGTTCAAAACTTTGTTTTTACGGAAGAGGGGTTGGAAAAGTAACTGAAACAAAACTCAGCCATTTCAAAGCCACATGCAATTCTTTGTAAAGCAGAGATCACAATTACACACACACACACACACACACACACACACACATTAGAGATTTATTGTGCACCACAACCCGTTCTTTGTAAAGCAGAAGGAAAGGATCCACAATTTGGAGAGATAAGTTACTTGGTACTGTTATGTAAAAGGCTCTCCATGCCAGATGTTCACGGCTTTTGGAATTCACAGGCCTGTAACATTTCAAAAGGTTGGGGCAGACCAACATAGGGTACTACATTACCATCTTTTATCAAATTTACTTCATGAAAAAAAAGACAGAATTCCAAAAATATAGAAAGGACATAATTTCCGAATAAGAGGCAGTCATTCAAACTGTGTAAATTTAGCTTCATGAATAACTCACTTACTTTTTGAAATTTAGCTTCATGAATAACTCATCTTACTTTTTCTCCTTTTGCCGTGGATTGATGTCAGCTTTGTCATGAAAAGGTCCTGATCCCTGCACTTGAAAGGAAACCATTGGTTCAGGCCATGTTGCAGTTGGAGTCATATCTCTACACAAACTTCTTCCTTAGGAGTAATACACATTTTCCTATAGGGGGGTTATGCATTGGACTGGACTAGCAATGTCATGATTGCTATTCCATGATAAGAAGAAAGAAGTGGATGGGAGGACAGGGGTACAAACACAACTGTTAGTTAGACACCCTGTTTGAGCAATAGCTCCTAGAATTGAGGCATTATTATATGGTGCATTCTTTGGAGCTCCAGGCACAAAGGTAGGCACAGATTGGAACAGCACACCGTCCTCACTTCTCTGAGAACTCAGTGCCTTGTGGATTTTCAAAGACCAGCTTCTGGGGATGTTGGCATTCCCATCATGAGCTCTACTAAAGACAAGTATAGTGAGATATCTTCCAATAGCTTCTTGCTGCTTCTTAGACTATGATTACAGAGAACCAGGGCCATAAGATTGCAGTTGGCTGACTTGTTTGTGAGCATCTGTGGCTACCTTTGGGGACTATGTCAAAATTCTTGGAGGATGCTGTGAAGGAATCTAAGGATGTTGTGAGCTTAGGCCATTGTATTTTGAGCATAAACATGACTGTGATCATGTGTATCACAAATGAGGCCCAAGAAAATGAGAATGTTTACTTTTTAAGTCAGACAGCCTAGATCTGAATCCCAGCTCTGACATTTACTTGCTGTGTAACCTTAGGTACCTCAAATAACCTCTCAGAACCTCAGATTTCTCATCTGAAAAATCAGGATGATCAAACTAAACACGTGTTTAACATTGTGTTTGGCCTTTAGAAATAACATTATAAATGTTAGCTGCTATTATTACATAATAATGAGGAAATTGAGGGGCAGACAGATGAAGTGAAAAGAGCAAGGTCATACAGCCCAGATGGAAAATTCATGTCTCCTGAATTAAGGAGCAATGGTCTTGCCTCTTGCTGCTGCAACTCTGTGGTCCACGGACCAGCAGCACCAGCATCACCTAGGAGGTAGATAGATAGATGCAGCATCTTAGGCCCCATTCAGACCTCCTGAATCAGAACCTTGAGTTTAACAAGATCCCAGGGTGATTCATATGGGCATTTAAGTTTGAGAATCACTGCTCTAGAAAACACCACTCTTTAGAAAGTTTTGGCAATTGGTAGAAGAATATGTCCTCCTGAGCAGAGAGATGGGGAGTCTCCTCCACGCTGAGCTCAACCCAATGCTGCTCCAAACAGTAAGCAGGAGACCTTGCTTTTAAAGACATTTTTATAACAAAGTATATGTTTATGAGGCAATTTCCACATTTAATTAGATGAAACCAATTTGATCTGTAAAATTAGGTTCTAGTTGTAATTTTGAGAGAGAAATCCATATATTACAAATCACCCTCTTCTGATTTCAGAAAGAAAAGAACAAAAAGAATATTTTGTTGCAAAGAAAAATAGGGTAACAAAGGAAAGACAAATCCAGGATTGTTAGCGCCCTCCTATGCACAACCTTGGACTTAGCAAAGTCAAAAGCCAAAAAATAAAAATAAAAATACATAAATAAAAAGGAAGAAGGGAAGGGAAGTTTCATCATTAGAAGTGTGTAGATATTGTTAAACACAGCAGGTCCTCCTAGTGGTAAGATACAATTCCCTTCTACATAAATCCAAGTCACAACCTCTAGTTGCATCCTTGAGCAATTTTGCCTCCCAAAGTCTGAGTGGCTTTGAGTAAGTCTCATTCTGTCTCTGGGCTCCAGTCCCCTCTTTATAACATGAAGATGTCAGACATTTCCAGGCTGCAACTGGGTAAGAACAAATGGAAAAATAAATCCAGGTCAAACCCACAGAATGAAAGGTTATACTTCATTTTGGAGTTGCTTTGCTGTTTGAACCTTGCCTTGAAACCAGCCAGAGTCTTTGAAGGTAAAACAGTGATGACACTTGAAGAAAAACAGCTGGTGCAAAGGCCCCGACGTGGGAATAACTTTGGCATATTTGACAAATAGAACGGAGACCAGAATGGCTGAGGTTTTGTGAGCATGGGGGACAGTGAAGGGAGGAGCAGGTAGGAAGGGTCAGAGTCTGCAGAGCTCCCAGAGTTTGCATTTTATCCTAAGAGGGATAGAAAGCCCTAGGAGGGTTTTAAGCAGAGGAATGAAGGAATCAGATTTATGTTCTTAAATGTAAAGATCACCCAGGTATTGTGTGGATAATAGACTGTGTGTGCACATGCATCTTGGGGACAACTGAAAATGCACCAGGAGGCAAGGACATTTGCATCATATATGATATCATGATGAGGGCTCAACTATTTATTGGAAGACCTTGGACCTGGGCAGAAGATGTAAAAGCTTTGTTATAGCTGCCTCTTTCCTGCTGCTAATGAGTTCCTATCTTGATGAGCTCTCTGGAGCCATGGACTTCCTTCCTTAAGGACTGGGAGTCTCACCTTGACCCTGTTGCCACCCCAGGGCTGGGAAATGGCCTAATTCTATAGTAGCCATGATCTCGCTCTCTCTGCAACTGAGCTCAGAATGCCCATCAGAGCCCACTTAAGCCAGTCTCACCTCAGCTGCAACAGGAAATATTAGGATGAATTAGACCATGGCCTCATATCTTTGGAGATTTGTACTTTAGGGGGAGATAGATAATGCACTTTTATGGTCACTCCCCTAACAGAGTGGCATAGTGCACACAGAGAGGTGGCATCAAAGGCTTCTTGTCCACAAACCAGCAGTGTCAACATCACCTGGGAGACTGTTAAAGGTGCAGAATTTCAGGCCCCAGCCCAGACCCCTTGAAACAGGTCCCTAGGTGATTCATGCACACATTAAAGCCTAAAAAGCACTGTACTAGGAAACATTCTAAAATTTTACAATCTGGATCTGCACACGGGCAAGGTAGAGGTGGTCTGGAATATCAACTCATCTGGAAAGCTCTGTTTTATAAAAAACCTGCATGACTGATGTGGTCATTGAATGAATTAAGGAATATCAC